TTACAAGATGGAGAGAACACAGCATCTTTGTCTGATGAGTGTTTCTCCGTAAGCTTTAATGATTCAAAAACCTTTAAACTTACAAGATGGAGAGAAGACAGCATCTTTGCCTGATGGGTGTGTCTCTGTAAGCTTAGATGGTCCAACAACCTTTGAACTGATAAGATGGAGAGAAAACAACATCTTTGTCTGATGGGCGTTTCTCTTGTAAGCTTTAATGGTTCAACAACATTTTAACTTACCAGATGGAGAGAAGACAGCATCTTTGTCTGATGGGTGTGTCTCTGTAAGCTTTAATGATTCAACAACCTTTAAACTTACAAGATGGAGAGAAGACAGCATCTTTGTCTAATGGGTGTGTCTCTGTAAGCTTTTCAGTATTCAAGGTAGCTTCCACATCTATGATTCTGAGGAGCACAGAGGAGTTGATTTTAAGATGACGTTAAAATTGACTTTCTTGAATAGTTTTGTGTACGTGGTGTAACATATATCTATATAGCACCATGAAGGTCAAATAATTATAGGCGTTCCCTTTTTTCCATCCAACCAACCGTGATTGATCATTATCAACAACAGCTTTTCAGACGAGACGACGCTCCACTCGACTATGGCTAATGAGATGTCAAGATATACAGCCGACACAAAGAGAGTAAAATGACCGCCAATTATTTTGGTATGGTAGCCAATTTTCACGCTATATATACCACTGCAATTAGGTCTGTTTGTGCCCACTTCGACGAAGAGAGCTCATCGTCCACCCGTACCACAATTTCTCAAGGCAACACCTCCGCCGGTCCCTCAATCTCTCATCGCAACACCTCCGCCGGTCTCCCGATCTCTCACCGCAACACCTCCGCCTCCTGAAATCAGCCCAAGAATAAATTTAATGCCGTGTTGATCGACAACAGAATTCCCGAAGAGTCGTTTTGTGTTGCTCCTTCCATTTCTCACATTGTTTGCAATCATGGAATCCTGTTTTTTTTCCGTCCCTCGAAGTTTTGGGCTCCTTCTAGGTCGATGTCTTCTTGGCTTACAGTTGAAGCGATTGGTGTTTTTCTAAAGTTTTCTTCTTAATCAGTTTTCTAGCATGGAAGCAGCGATTTTATTTGAGGGTGGTCATTTCTTTCTTGGCATAAGATTTTTAGTTGTGATGTGGTCGTGCAATGATATGTAAAAATTGTTTTACGGTATTTATGATGAGGCAATTGTGTAACTTGTTTTTGCGGTACTTTTCCATGTTTCACATCCAAATGGTTGTTGGCGGAAAAATGGATTGAAAAATTTCATGTTTATCCAGACATACTAGTATACTAATGTTTATGTTTCTGAGTCATATTTGCTACATGCTGGTTGCTTTAAAGCTGTGCATTGATGTTCTTTTCACTGGATGTTACTGTGATTACACTAATATAGTAAGTTGTCAATATAATATTGAACTACTTCGTTTTCAAGCGTGATATTACTTGCATTCGTTTTGTTTTTCGTTGCTTAGTCGTGTCCCTGCTTACTCTTAGGCCTATATTTCTGTCAATACTAACGAGCCATTGCGTGAAACCCTATAGATTGTCACAACCGTAGAGCACCGTGGAAATATTGTCGCTCAATGTCTGAACTGTTCCTTCCCCTTACGTGATACCATCACCAGCTTTTTTAAAGGTGGAATCTAATTAATATCACACTTCATATAAAACGACTATGGACTAACGCCACTGTAATTTGACGGCTTTTCTTCGGAATTTTTCCTTCGGGGGTAGAAAATGTTTTCTTCCTGGCCCACGACCCGAGTTGAAAAATTGAAACGGTTAATTTTACATTATTATAATATCATTTCAATTGGCGGATAAACAGACAGTATAAATTTCAATTTGCACGTCAACAAAAGGTCACCATTGCCCCCCCCCCCCTTGTGGGTTTACGGCTAACTCGGTAAAAAGCATGAAAACGATATCACCGATGATAGCGAACTAGACTCGACATATCTAGATCGAATTATCTCAACGTCCGATTCACGATTGCGCAGATTTACTTGTCCGGATACAAGGACTATAGACAAGGCATCCCTTGACGATTTAACCGCAGAGGTTCCCCTTTAGTCCTGCTGACTGAGACAAGAGGTGACTCATGGAGTCACGACGACCGATCGCGCGATGTGCCGCTGTTGGCTCATTTCCATCCGAGCAAACCAGCCCAACAAGATACCCAGACACGCAGACACGTACAAGTACGTGCATGGCCACCACCTACTGTCAAAGGGCAGATTGACACGTTACATTAGGACATGTTCTTTTCTTCACAACTGCGCTATATATTAAATCTTCCTAGTAAAGAAAGAGAGAAGACTAAGCGTACGATTAGCTCGTCGAACACCCTTTAAACTTACAAGATGGAGAGAACACAGCATCTTTGTCTGATGAGTGTTTCTCCGTAAGCTTTAATGATTCAACCACCTTTAAACTTACAAGATGGAGAGAAGACAGCATCTTTGTCTGATGAGTGTGTCTCTGTAAGCTTTAATGATTCAACCACCTTTAAACTTACAAGATGGAGAGAAGATGGCATCTTTGACGAGTGTGTCTCTGTAAGCTTTAATGATTCAACAGCCTTTAATCTTACAAGATGGAGAGAAGACAGCATCTTTGTCTGATGAGTGTGTCTCTGTAAGCTTTAATGATTCAACAGCCTTTAATCTTACAAGATGGAGAGAAGACAGCATCTTTGTCTAATGGGTGTGTCTCTGTAAGCTTTAATGATTCAACCACCATTAAACTTACAAGATGGAGAGAAGACAGCATCTTTGTCTAATGGGTGTGTCTCTGTAAGCTTAGATGGCCAAACAACCTTTAAACTTACAAGATGGAGAGAAGACAGCATCTTCGTCTGATGGGCGTGTCTCTGTAAGCTTGAATGGTCCAACAACCTTTGAACTTACCAGATGGAGAGAATACAGCATCTTTGTCTGACGAGTGTGTCTCTGTAAGCTTCAATGATTCAACAGCCTTTAAACTTACAAGATGGAGAGAAGACAGCATCTTTGTCTAATGGGTGTGTCTCTGTAAGCTTTAATGGTTCAACAACCTTTGAACTTACAAGATGGAGACAGGACAACATCTTTGTCGAGTGTCTCTCTGTAAGCTTTAATGGTTCAACAACCTTTGAACTTACCAGATGGAGAGAAGACAGCATCTTTGTCTGATGGGTGTGTCTCTGTAAGCTTTAATGGTTCAACAACCTTTGAACTTACCAGATGGAGAGAAGACAGCATCTTTGTCTGATGGGTGTGTCTCTGTAAACTTAGATAGTTCAACAACCTTTGAACTTACCAAATGAAGAGAAGACATCATCCTTGTCTGACGAGTGTGTCTCTGTAAGCTTTTGATTAATGGTTCAACAACCTTTAAACGTACCAGATGGAGAGAAGACAGCATCTTTGTCTGACTAGTGTGTCTCTGTAAGCTTTTCAATATTCCAGGTAGCTTCCACGTCTATGATTCTGGTGAGGACGGAGGAGTTCACTTTAAGATAACGTTAAATTGATTTATTGAATAGTTTTGTGTACGTGGTGTAAGATTCTATGTAGCACCATGAAGGTCAAATAAATAAGGCGTTCCCTTTCCCCATCCAACCAGGCGTGATTGATCATTATCAACAACAGCTTTTCAGAAGAGACGACGCTTCACTCGACTATGACTAATAAGATGTCAAGATACGCAGCCGACACAAAGAGAGTAAAATGACGGCCAATTATTTTGGTATGGCAGCCAATTTTAATGCTATATATACCTCTGCAATTAGGTCTGTTTGTGCCCAATTCGACGAAGAGAGCTAATCGATAAGCGACTTACATGTAACTACACCCCGAGCGAACTAACACCTCCGCCGATTCCCCGACCTCTCATCGCAACACATCCATCGATCCCCTAATATCTGACCGCAACACGTCCACCCGTCCCCCAATTTCTCACCGCAACACATCCGCCGGTCCCCCAATTTCTCACCGCAACACCTCGCTGGTCCCCCAATTTCTCACCGCAACACCTCCGCCGGTCTAGATCTCTTACCGCAACACCTCCGCCTCCTGAAATCAGCCCAAGAATAAATTTAATGCCGTGTTGATCGACAACAGTATTCCCGAAGAGTCTTTTCGTGCTGCTCCTTCCATTTCTCGAATTGTTTGCAATCATGGAATCCTATTTTTTCCGTCCCTCGAAATGTAGTTTTGGGCTCCTTCTAGGTCGTTTTCCTCTTGGCTTACAGTTGAAGCGATTGGTGTTTTTCTAGTTTTTTTCTTAGTTGGTTTTTAGCATGGAAGCAGCGATTCTATTTGAGGGTGGTAATTTCTTTCTTGGCATAAGATTTTTAGTTGTGATGTGGTCGTGCCTTGATATGTCAAAATTGTTTTATGGTATTTATGATAAGGCAATTGTATAACTTTTTTTGCGGTACTTTTCCATGTTTCGCATCCAAATGGTTGTAGGTAGAACAATGGATTAAAAGAATTCATGTTTATCGTATTTGCTACATGCTGGTTGCTTTACAGCTGTGCATTATGTTCTGGGTTTTCAAGCTACAATTCAAATTAAGGTAAATAAAAGTATTTTAACTTAAAGAATTAAATCGGAATAGTGAACACTAAAGTCTAAGCATTTGGTGTCAAGCTACCATTATGCTGAAGTCATTTAGTTTTCGTATTAGTGCACAGGAGCCAAAAATGTAATTTTTTTGTCTGAAAATAGCCAAAAGCCCTATTATACACAATTTTAAAGTGGTGTATGACACAGGTGTGAATGGCATTCTTTGGACATGTGTCATCGGAGCCCGTTTGGGGGCTACACCCCATACTGGTACCGGTGAAATTGTGACCTTTAACCATATAGAACTGTAGGTTTAATTTGTCGCAGGAACCTGTAAGCCCAGGAATAATATGTATTTCCTGCCAAACTGATCATTTGTCTAATGATGAATCAAACAAATTTAAATGTGTTTTGACAGGTAAGAAAAACAATGGAAGAACAGGCTACGGAGCAACCAACGCAGCCTGTTGTGCAGGTATGGCATTTTATAGAAATGTAGAAAACAAACAGTGTCGAAGCTCAGACTAAATAATCTTCTTCTGGTCACTGCAATGTTGTTGTAGTCTTATGATGAGTAGGGGGCATGTGCGATAATCATGGCGATATCACATAATCATTGACGTTGTACGATCGCAAGCCGAGGGTATTCTTGGAATAGTCGTGAATGTGCCGTGCAAAATTCAGCTGTTTTGTTACCAAAAGGTTGTATTAGATCCTTATCGGCGATTGGTTCTGTCACAGCCTGCTTAAAAATTGTGCGATGACCTTCGACGAATGTGATGGCACCGTAATGGTGACATTGATCATTGCAGCGAACGGATGAGATTATTTAAAAGAGGAACAAGAGTACTGAAGAACCTGATAAAATCATGCAGGTACGGTCAACCAGATGAATGCAATTCGTCCTAAAAGGTTGACAGTATTTCAAGAAATTTAACACGACGTAACTGTCATTTCGGACAATAAACTGCATTTGCACGACAATATATCAACCCTTTTTGTTTTTTACATTTGTTCTACTGCTACCAAAAATCATGTTTCAGGAAGCACAACAGCGCGACTGGATGACTGTCGTATCTGAATCTGAACGTGAAGGCTGGCTGACCACCTGCAGCATGTGTGGGACCAAGGATGACGCCATTGTCACCCCGTCGATGACAATGACGTCGGATGGCCTAATGACATACGACGTTGAATCAGCTGAGGGTGACGTCACGCATGTCGTCTGCAAACCTAAGCCGTACTCGGATAAAGAAACATACGCGAGGTTGGACGCGCACGCCGTAAACGTGAGTTGGCATTTTAATTTTGAGTGTCACCATAGCATACATGTAGCACCCAGCCAATGACAGTTTACTTAAAGAAAATATCTATAGCAAAGTTGATCAAAGAGGTGAAAGGTAAACTTTTGCTCAATAATATTTGACAAACAATGGCTGGTTATTGTCCTTTCAAATAGGCAAACCAGTCTCTGAATCGTGACTTCCAAGCATTGATGGCGTATCTACTGCAACCTGCCAAGACCGACCTGGAGAAGGCACGAGTCCTGTTTCGCTGGATCACGGCACAGAGTCTGGTCAAAATGGAGTTCAAGGGTATGATATAGCTTCTAGACAATAGAACAGAGATTTTTCACGTAAGAATACAAATTACTATCCAATCATAACTACCTCCGTGTATGTCAACAGATATACCAGAGAAGGAAACACCGGAGTGGTATTTAAGAGAGATCAAAATGGACAGGCTGTCACAAGACTCACTTCTGGCTAAGATGTGCAGGTACTCATTGTTGAATACATTTCTCACAATGTTTTAGAGCAGCAAATCACACTTCCACGATCTTTTAGAGCAAGAAATAGACATTTTCATAGACACTAATAAAACACGAATAGATACACATATATATTTTCATGAGAACAATTATCATTCCCAAACATATATAACAAATATAACATCAAATAGTTGATAGACATGGGCGTCTGATTTAGCTGTCATATTTCAAACACAAGCGCCTCGTGGTGGAGGTGTTAATTGTGAAACGTTGAAGTGTTGCACAGATACATAACCACATACTTAATTTACTCCACCTAATGTCAGAGATTTGAATTATTCCCTCCATTGCGTTCCTTTAGATTGGCGGGCCTACAACACCAGATAGTCCGCGGTTATGCAAAAGCGGTAAAATGTTACCCCGGAACGAAGTTGGTGGGTTCAGAAGGTAGAGGATTCTGGCTGAGGGTCCTCATCAACGGTTGCTGGGGCCTCATAGATGCAGGATGGGGATCACATCACGTCAAAGACGACCTGGAGAAGAGCGCAAAGGAGTTAGATCAGGTGTACGCATTTAACGAGTTTTACTTCTTACCCAACCCGCGGCACTTCCTCAGCGCACATCTCCCAGATGACGACAGACATCAATTCCTTTCAACTCTTGCTCCCTTCGATGACTTCGAGCCACATGTCCAGTGCTGGCCACACTTCTTTGTTCATCACCTGAAAATATTGAGTCATCATCACGGGTTGGTTCCTACCGAGAATGGCAAGGCGGTGATCTACATCGGCTTCAAACCAGAAGACTACAGCACCATCAAGTTTTCTTCTCATTTACAGACCAAGAATTCGCAGTCCACGTGGAAGAATATCAAACTTGACCGATTCATTCAACAAGACAGAAAGAAAGACGCAGTGGTCTTTGCAGTCAAGCCTCCAGAGAATGGAAGATATCTGTTTGATATCTTCGTCGGCATGGAAGGAAACAAAATGCATTATGCCTGCAGATACGCGATAGAATGTGATGACGCCATACCGGAAAGTGAAAACGCGCCACTTCCAGAGTGGCAAGGCACATGGGGACCGGGCAACACCATTCTAAACAAAGGCCTCATTCCGATATCGCATCCATGTCCTCGTGTCGAGTGCCCTGGGGGTCAAGCGGCCATCCAGTTCAGCTTGCCTGAACAGCTGGAGTTCGTCACAACCCTGTTCGAAACAACCATTGAAGAGAAACACTTGGAGCGGTACGTCGCCCACGAGGTCGTAGATGGAGTGGCCAGGATCAACGTCATCAATCCGTTAACAGGCAACTTAGGATTGGCGATATACGCAAAGCGTCAAGAAGACGAATGGGATAAGTGCCAGCATCTCTGCACATATCTAGTGTCCACAGACAGTCCTATTGACGAAGTACCCTTCCCAAGTGTTGCCAATGGCAGGTTTGGACCTTGCCTCCCTCACTTTTCACAGATGGGTCTGTCCACAAGGAGCCACGCTAGCGCATTCATCGAGTGTGACGATGGTGAGCTACACATTAGGATGGCCACCAACAGAATGCTCAGTGTATCGCAGCACCTGATATGGGAGGCGCTTGAAGAAGAAGTCAACATGGACAACTACTGTTACAGTGAGGTCCGAGACGGCGAGGTGTATTTCTGGCTCCATCTTCCGAAGATAGGCAAATACAAACTGACCTTGTATGCGGAAGAGGCTAGTAGCCACAAGGGCACCCTGAGAAACGTGTACAACTACTGTATCAACTGCACGGGAACAAAGGAGCAGGTTAAGCCATTTCCACCAATTCAAGGAAATCGTTGGGGAAGACTGTTTCCTAAGTGTTCAGAGCTCGGCTTGACACCAACAAGTCACCCGGCAGGTTTCGTCGATGCAGAGGAAGAACTCGAGGTTGTACTTGATTCCACAAAGCAGTTGGAGTTTGTCCATAAGCTAAAGCGCTGGACAGCAGAAGGAGAGGACGAAGACCTGGCTGTGTTTTGCTGTCACAAGGTACTCAACAAGGGAAAGACAACGTCAGTGCTTGTACGGTTCCCTCAAGAAGGATTTTACGTCCTACAACTATACGCCAAAGAAACGGAGAAAGTCTACGCCTACAGTAACGTGGTGAATTACTTGATTTCTTGCAAGAAGTCAGCAGCAGGCTGTGTGGGATTTCCAGATATGTGTAACAAAAGATGGGGACCGCTATATCCCCACTTTTCTTCCATGGGTTTGAGCCTTGCAAGTCACACAGATCCAATGATTTACTCAAGAACCGGAGCGCTGCAGATTTCTCTCAACAGGTCCAAACCACTTCAGTTCCTGGTCCGACTGTACCACTGTGAGAACGGCAAGCAGACCGACCTCCCAAACAATGTCTTCATCCATGACGACCGTGGCGAAGAGGGGAAGATGACGGCCAGCGTTCTTATGCCACACACTGGTGACTACAATCTGCAAATATTTGTTAAAGAGGCAGAGGACAAGAATTCCTACCTAATGGCGATGAGCTATCTCATACACTGCTCAAACGCAGTGCAGGGCTCCCCCGAGTTTCCAAAGTCGTTTTCGAACTGGGGACCGGGTTGTCAATTGTATGAGCCGCAGAGGAAGATCCTACCGGTTGGAAAAGAAACGCATTTCAAGGTCACAATCCCAGATGTCGGTGATGTTGCTGTAATATCACCAGATGATAACTGGTCACACCTGACGAAACAAAAGGATGATACATGGGACGGCGACGTTACAATCCCTGGAGAAGACTTCATTGGAAAAGATATAATATTATCCACGAAGGCCAAGGACGACGGGGGAAACAGCTACCAAGCAACTCTGCAGTACTTAGTAGGTAAGCAACGTTGTTCTTTAAACCAAAGTTATATCACAGATTGATTTTGAATCATGTACAAACATCAAACAAAATGACGTAGCTACAAAGATTGTAGAAGTTTTAAAACTTCTCATCAACTAACGAGACCGTTACATTTTCCAATTCCTGTCTTTCACAGGGAAAGATTCGTCTCCTGTGCCTATCACATGGGAAGGCAATGAGGATAGAAATTCGCAGGTAGGATAAGAGATGACCGAACCGTTAAACTATCCAACGGACAGAGAACAAGAGGACTCAAAATATGTAGAGAAGCCAAAGTTTTTTTTAGGATGTTACCTAAAACTAAACAATGCTTCAATTTTGAAGATTTTGTATAACATAGCGTTTCAAATTATTCTTATAGGACGCCATTGGGTCTCAAGAAGCTATCATAATGGTCAACTCTGAGTTCAATTTTGTAATGTCTGAGAAAGAACCTGAAACAAGTTTAATTTGTATATCAATTATTGTTAGATAGATCCAATAAGATTCTATTGTCTCTGTAAATTTCAACAGGTTAGAGAACATGTCTTGTATGTTGCTTCTATTAAATTATTGCTTTGATTTGAAAGAATTTGTATAACACAGGGTTCTAATTTATTCTTACAGCCAGCAGAGCCTAATAATGGAAAAACATCTCCAGTAAGTTCACTTTCTAGATATTTTTTCATGTTATTAATGTAAGGCACATTAATTAAAATAAAATAATTTAACTCTCAGTAAGTGTATTACAATTATATATCTAACTCTAACATTAAAGATGCTGCTCAATACGATGTTACCCAGACATTTCTTTAGTTTTGAAAATCTTGCATCATACAAGAAGTCTAACTAACATGGGTTCGGTATCCAAGATGCTGCTATAACATAATGATTGCTTCAATTTAGAAAAACAAGTTATAAGGCAATGTTTCATTTATTCTTACAGTGCGAGGAGACGAATGCCCCAAGCATCAAACAGGCAGGTTTGAGTTATATATTTATCTTTATGTGATGTGATTATTACCTCCGGGGAAGGAGATATCCTTCCGCGAGGAGGTTTTACTATTGTTCGAAACATTTCTGTCAGCAGCTGTTTCTCGCGATCGGCTGGACGGATTGGTCTGTTGTTCGGTATACGTATTGCTGTTGGGCTGCAGATGATGCAGAACGTTTTTGTTTAATTGCATATGTGTTTATGGGCGTCGAAATAAAAGGTTTTTAAGTGCTCCGGACACCCCCGCCATGCTGAAAATGGAATTTACCATGTTGTTAAGGAATGGGGAGGTTTCAGTTTTGGGTCTTACCATTTAAAAGGGGTCAAACAGAGGGGTGTCTGGTTCCGATAAAAACGTTGGGTGACGGCGCAGCAATGACGGCGCGGGATGACGGCGGGGGTAATGGCGCGGGTGACGCTGAACGCTGGGTGCAAGCCGAGTCAGCGCTAGATCTTCGTGTCGCGGCATTTATTTCCAGAAATACGGCGATACACGTCAATTTATTTCAAGTACGGAGCGTACATTTGTAGCTAGCATGGCAGCAGCCAGCAGAAGCGGTGGGCGGGCGGTATGCAAATCTTGCATGACGTATCCGCGTTACGCGTCTCTGATTGGTTGTTCGCTTCAGCTGAGATCGCCGGGCGGCAACATGAAGGGCGCGGGGACGCGATTTTTCTGTTTGAAAATATGCACTAAACGCTGTTTTCCAGGACTGCATAGCCACATCTAGTGAAAAAGTGCACAATTAATATAAATTTGGGGGGAAATATTTGTTTCTTTGTCGATTTATGGTGTCGATTTATGGAACCCGGAAGTGCAGCCGAGACCAGCGCGCAGCGTAGACCAGCGTGGCAGTTTGACGTGTACGATCAAAACATAAATAAAACTCCCGCTGAAGAAGGGAAATTATCCTGTATGTATGCATTTCAGATCCCAGTGACTATGTTTACGGTGGGAATAATTGTGGATACGCACGATAAGCCTCAGAAATTTTAATATGTCGCAAGTGGGGCATTCTATAGGCTTGCACGGCCAATGTCCGGCACGCTACGCGGCGTACGTACACTGCTGCACATCACAGCCAGCGATTCAGTGTCTTAAAATATTTTTTAACATCAGTATAACAATATTTTTAAGCATATGTGATCAAATTTCTGTAAAAAAAAATTGCACAATTGTAAACATAAAACATGAATAGATCGCTGCTATACTGGGCGTACCATTTCGCGTACATGGCCGGCTGCCCGGCGCAAATACTGTTCCGATTTTTCTCAGTAGAAAACCAGAATAAATCACGCACCCGTAATTTGGCTTCGACCCAGAGCTCCTACTTCAGAGTTGAAACCTCAAAAATAGTAACTTTATTAGAGCATGGAGGTATTATACCTCTATGATTGGAAGAAATATAGTATTGCGACACGTGCATAGAATTTGACAAATGGGGGGGGGGGGTGGCGCTACCTAAAATTCTGCTGCGCTACCTAGTTTTTGCCCTAGGTAGCACACTGTGCTACTTTGCTCAAAAAAGTATTTCGAACACTGCGTTAATCAACAGTCCATACCGAACCAACCGTCAGTAGCCATCAAACCGGCATACAAACATATTACGCACATAACTTTCATACTACACACAAACAAATAACCTAAACCAATAGAAAAAAAAAACCCGGAGGTTTGAAATCTACGATTTCCCTTGTTCTACACTAAAATCAGTGATAAAAAAAGTAATCCTTAAAGTTCCAATCGTGAAATTAGAGATGTCTTTTGCCGAGATGTTACCTAACCTTAAACATTGCTTCAGTTTTGAAGATTTTGTACAACACAATTTAAAGGTCTCAAGTTATTCGTACATTGTGATAAGCAGACAGCTTACAGCAAAGACAGGTTTTTGTTGACAGTTTATTTGTTATTGACCAATGATATTTTTTCTAAGCTTAATATATTGATCTAGTTAAATAAAGTCGTCCATGTTAAACTAATAAAGAAGGGATCTTTTTTTCCCACGATGTTACCCAAACATTGATTTAGTTTTAGAAATCTTGTAAAATACAAGGCTTGAGCTTATTCTTGCAGCCTGAGAAGCCTACTACTGGAGAAGCACCTCCGGTAAGTTGACTTTCTAGATTAATCATTGTTTGATGTCTTAATCTAAACCATATTTAATGAAAGAAAACTCTCAAACAAAAAGGCAGGTTTCAGTTGTAAAATTGAAGATGTCTTTTGCCAAGATGTTACCTAACCTTAAACATTGCTATGATGAATGCCCAAAGCATCAAAAAGGCAGGTTTGAGTTATATATTTATTTTTGTGCGATGTGTGATTATTCTAAATTAAATTCACCGATCCATTAAAAAAGAAATCCTGAAAGTTTCTGAAATTATTCCCTCCCCAAGAACGTTCAACTTTGATATCTTTGGGCTGTTTGTGCGTGGGTTTGTTAATCTCCAAGTATATTATACAGTAGTGGCAAGACATAACCCAATCGGCCTAGTAGAGTCAATTAGCCACCGAATATCCCAAGCAAATACATGTTTTTTGTACTTCACTATAGTCACTATGTTATGTGATATTCATCTTTACTTCCAAGTAGGTCTGAAACTCACAGCAATTAATAACAATTATGAAATCATGCTAATTTCCAACATCAACGGATATCAACAACTCCAACATCATATATAACAACACTTGTGCATGCTTTAAAAAGTTCGTCGCCGACGTTTAAAAAAAAACGATATACTTGTTCCACGATGTTACCCAGACATTGCTTTAGTTTTGGAATCTTGTATGATACATGGTTCGAACTTATTCTTGCAGCCTGCGGAGCCTAACACTGGAAAAGCACCTCCGGTAAGTTGACTTTGTTGATAAATCATTGTCTGACGTATCAATCTATACCATATATAATGAAGGAAAATTGTCTAAGTGAAGTTGAACTAAAAATAAGTTTTTTCACGATGTTGCCCAAAGTCAAAGATTGCTTCAATTTCGGAGATTTTTTAGGCAAATACCGTTTAAGATTAATCGTCTACGTATATCATGCAAAATCCCCGATATTTATATAAGTAGAAGTAACTTGGTACTTGAAGTCCTTTATTCAAAGGGAGTGCTTTTTGACTATGGAGGAATCTATTCTTGTAGAGGCAAAAGTATGAAATATTCTATTCTGGCGTTTGGTGATATTGTAAGGGTAACTTTGGGATATGGATTGCCAATTTCTGAGGGTGTTTGATAGAAAATAATCCATTTTTGGGATGGGGAGAGGTGTGGAGTGAAATGAGCTCCCAAGCAAATGACGGCCGTTCTAGTTCTTTAGTTGGATCTCTATCGACGTATTAATAGTTACATTAACATCCGAATGATATAATTATTACATTAGGGCCACGATGACGCCTTGCATAACGTAAGTACCCATTACTAGTATGTTCAATCCAGTAGTAAGTGTCCCTGCGTCTGTATCGGAAGGTTGGGAGTTCATCCTACGTGCACGATCCAAAAATGGGTTGCATTAGGACGGGGCGTTAAGCCTAGGTGTAATACCCATTGTCGAAAAGAGCTTAAGAAAGTTTCACAGTACAATGAAGCTGTAAATTCTGTACCGTCGACCCTATATATATGTTCATACTATAGGTACCAAATTAGTCTAACTATTCAAACTATTCTACAGTATATTGAAGTTGTGCACTGTTTTTATTCCTTTCATTGCTTACCGAAGTTTAGGAGCATGGTAATTAATTTGGTTTAATGACATAATTTGTGATCAGTTGCATAATGCCTAGAATATTTATACGTTAACTATTCACGGTACTCTAACTTGGACCATATCCCCCCACCCCTTTTTAATGAGACGACGACCATAATCCATTTTTATTAGTAGTACATTCAAATTTCATTGAATTCACAGAACAGTATGTTTAAAAACGTTTTCTGTGTGCCTGTCTTTCAACTCAAATTTGAACGCCATAGATCACCATCATCATCATAGATTATATTCTAAGTATAAAGTTCTGAATTACTTAGTATACAAATGGAATATTGGTAGCTCAATGGTCTCCAACCAGTAGAAAGAGGGCCTTTAAGTTCAGAATTTTTATCATTGTCGTCAGACTTGTATTGATTTGTTGCTTCTCTCCTTCGTTTTAGCCGGAGAGGAAGAATGATCAGATCAAACGCCTCGAGCTGAAACTGAGTGAACTCCGTGAGGAATTGGACTTGAGGAAGCGTTATAACTTGAAGCTGGCACTGGATAAGTAATCACTCTTAATCAGTACCTCTATTCCTTTCATGACTCGTGGCAATACGATTAGGTTAATTTTCGTCCCTTTTCTTTGTCCATATTTTTCAATGGTTGATGATTAGCTTCGCCAGCTAGATAGCTCTTGGGCTAGGAAAAATGACATGAGGTTAGGCCCCCTAGCGGCTTGTTCTGCAACTGCAGGTAAACAAAGGTACCGAAAGTTTGAAGTCGTGGAACTCTTGTTTGTACGATAACTCGAAATTCTGTTGATAGATGCTCATGAAGGCCAAGGTCAAGTTCGAGAATGATCCTAATGGGTGTTACTACAGTGGACTTTTTCGTGTTTGCTGGTTTGTTTGTGATCGGTATCTCTGGATGGTGTAAATGGATCGTAAGGAATAGGCGCGTGCACGTGGAATTAAGGAAAATGAAAGGTCTAGTTCAATAGTGGCCCTATTAGCGATGTACAAGCCGCACGCCTTCAGACGTACACATGTACGACCAGAACTAGCCTAGCTATGCTAACCCATGCACTTCAACAACCCGTATCTAGAACCCACCCCCCTTACGGACCTTCATCCACGCAGGGGTCCAGGTCTTTCAGACCCCGCTGTGGTCACCATCAACAACAGCGTCCTTCAATGTCAGAGTCCATTGACATCTACTTCATTTTAAATGAAAACACTTGAAAGCTGTGAGTCATTGATTAGCTATTGACTTGTACCTTGGTCCCTTAACCCAGGTCAGGGTCGTGGGGGCACTGCATGGTGGAGTGTCTGACCATCTGCCGCCATCCTTCTCGGCTGTGAGCTAGGGTTAGGGTTTCCGAAGGTTTTTTTCCTGTCCATTCTTGGATGTTGTCGGCCCATTTTTTCTTTAAGCTATTGACTTAGTTAACTGTTATTATTTACATCTTTTGTGGCTATTGCTTACTAAAATGTACGGTACTGCTGTAGGGGGGCTTTTTTTGCGTTCTGGAAGTGATACTAAGTATATTAGAAATGTTTGAGTGTTGGATAGTTTTGGGGGCAAAGAAGTGGCGTAAGTTTGGGTTCCTAGCGGCTTTTTTAAAACTGCAGTTCGATGTTTCAATGCTGGAGAACGGGAAGATTGTGTTTCATTGTTTTTTTTTGCAGGTAGATGCCTTAGGTAACGTTTAACACAATGAAGTATATATTATGCAATCAGGGCCTAATCCACATAAGAAATATAAACATATTCCCGGATGCCCATGCATTCTCTGACGACCTTGAAGCCGGGACAACTGGCCTTTGTTAGTCAGGCCGACACTTTCAAAATAGTCACCTGGTTCTATTGAGAAGGATTTGTCTTAGGTAGTGTGTGTGTGTGCGCGCGCGCGAGTGGGGCAGTGAGTGTGTGTGTGTGTGTGTGCGTGTGTGCGTGCGTGTGTGCGCGCGTGAGTGTGTGTGCGTGTGTGTGTGTGCGTGCGTGTGTGTGTGCGCGCGCGAGTGGGGCAGTGCGTGAGTGTGTGCGTGCGTGCGTGTGTGTGCGCGCGCGCGAGTGGGGCAGTGCGTGAGTGAGTGAGTGTGTGTGTGTGTGTGTTTGCGTGTGTGTGTGTTTGTGTGTGTGTGTGTGTGTGCGTGCGTGCGTGCGCGCGCGCGAGTGGGGCAGTGCGTGAGTGTGTGTGTGTGTGTGTGTTTGCGTGTGTGTGTGTGTGTGTGTGTGTGTGTGTGTGTGTGTGTGTGTGTGTTTGCGCGTGTGTGTGTGTGAGATAGATAGAGTCTGCATGTAAACACGATAAACCGAGAAGGCTTACATGGATTGTCTTGAAATTTGGTAGGCGTGTAGGACTTGATGAGGCGTCGAAATGATTAAAGTTGCTTGTGATAGTGACTGTGCAGCGGAACTTCTGGTTTTGATATCTCGTGATCTAGGGTCACGAATTTTGGATTAGGTAGGGTAGATAGCTACTGTACTACTGCACTGTAGAGATGACGAGCTCCGGCTCTTAACAAACATGTCCAAAGTCTTTCAAGGTCTTTCGGTATGTTGGTGGCTTGAGGGATGGTTGACATAACTAGATGGCAAGTGTGCAAATAAGGATCTCATTTGAATAATAAATAAATCAATTCTATATTGTAATTAGTGGCAACTGCCAACAACTTCATACACTTTTCTGCCCTCTGACAGTAGTCAACATGCAAAGAAAGGTAAAAAAAATTCGGAAACCTTCATCGACAAGACAGGGCTCTACTTTTTTGTTAGTCTTTTATTTTTACAGCCCACCCTCAACAGGGAGGGGGGTTACGGGTATAACTCTCACATTTGTAACCAACTTTCTTCCAAATGGTGTTCTTCAAACCCCATCCAGTGTTGATGACATTGGGTGAAAGAAGTTTAATGTCGTATAATACCGAAGTGTACCAATTAGACCAAATGAAATGCGCATTTCCGTAATCAAGCCTGTTACCTAGATATCTGATCTGCCTGACAAAACTCGAGATTCCAGCAGCTCTTCTTCTCTTTAAATAGACGATGTGACGATGTGATATGATATTATATACCCTCTATTGCATTTTATTTCAGAAAGAATCCCAAAATGTCATTTTACGATGGAACAGATTCCAGTGGCAAGGAAAATAAGATAGAGGCTACCGGTGACACGCTTGAAGGTAACCTTTGATGCATGTTGAAATCACCGTTATAACCTTCGCCAAGAAGGTTATGTTTTCAGTAGCGTTTGTGCGTGCGTGTGTGTGTGCGTGTGCGTGCGTGTGTGTGATTTATCAGACCTAGAAATAATTACTCCGTGAAGGAGGTCAGGACCTCCAAACGGAGTGTTGTGATCGGCTGATTTTTCATGTTCGCAGTCAAAACACTGGGTTCTCTTTGTGTAATCGGCACGCAATTTTATACACCGTCTGCGGGCATGCCCGTGTTGATGCACGAATGTGTATTTTTGCCGTTGCTGCTTTCGCGGTCAATGTAATATCGCAGACGCACCCCTACAATTACGAGGCGAATTGGAATGGTCCAGAAAAACGCGTTGTTTGGAATAGCAGTGGGGGGGGGGTAAAAGTTCATGCAGATACGAGGTGGTTTTGATAAGTGGTTCCAGATGTTTTTGCCCATGGTTAAGAGATGCCAAGTTTTTTGGAAGATGTTCGCAGCCAAAACGCATTCTTCCGTACGTCGCATTTCTGTGTAATTTCGCATGTGGTGTTGCATTATGTCCGGGATGATGCACGTCTTTTTATTTTTACCGTAGCTGTTTTGATATTGGAGTAAATGGTTATTTTCGAA